TGACCCGTCCGCAGGGTAGTCCGCTGATTCCTATACAGCAACTGATTTTCCCATCCAAATGATCAAATGGGGGTTTCCAATAATATGGGTACCCCAGGTTGTCACATTGATAACCACCAAATTTGGATAATTTCGCCCCCCCTCCCAATTTTTGGAAAACTCCCCAAAGAGTCAAATGGGGATGCTTCAAATCGCTGATGTGCCAGGTCGTTCAGGTGTCGCATCTTCATGATGAGTCTGGAAGACCTTTCAGCTTGCTCCAGGCCTTGGTGCACCGAAATTGGGACCTGATGGACCTGGCGAACCTAGAGAATCACAGAGAGAAGTTTGTGTGTCCAGATTGTGATGTGTTTTTTTAAAATTTTTCACTTCCATGATCTTCCATTCCATTTACCCTCTGGTCGAAGGAAGTTTAGAAGTGAAACTTCCGACAATATGGACAGTTGAAAAGCAGAGGTGAAAAGAGTCAGAAGAGAAAAGATCAGAAGAAAGAAGATGCAGATGCGCGAAAAGGTAGGAAAGTCGCGATTCACTGTGTTTTTCCAATGGTTTGTGGCTCCGGAGGGTCGAAAAGTAGGCTCGCTAAAGCGGCGGGTGCGGAGCCAGCTGGCCAGATGAGACATGAAAAAGTGCACGCCGTTGTGGCGCGAAGCACATTTCCAAGTCAAAATGGACAAAACACTAGAGGATCGGACCACTTTTGGAAGTTGAGATGTCGAAAAAGTGCACGCCGTTCTGGCGCGAAGCACATTTTGAAGTCAAACGTGTAAAAAACTTAGGGTTTTGAGCATTTATTGACGTGAAGATGTCGAAAAAGTAGACACTGATTAACTTAACTAACTTGACTAACTTAACCAACTTCACTAACTTAACTACCCTAACTTCGACGACAACAGCAACAGCAACAACAACAACAACAACAACCACAACAACAACAACAACAACAACTACTACTACTACTACTACTACTACTACAACTACAACTACAACTACAACTACTACACAACAACTACACAACAACTACAATATGATTACAATAGCACACTACAATTACAAAACAGCTACAACAACAACAACAACAGCAACAACAACAGCAACAGCAACAGCAACAGCAACAACAACAACAACAACAACAACTACAACTACACAACAACTACAACTACAACTAGAACTAGAACTACAACAACTACAGCTACAACAACAACAACAACAACAACAACAACAACTACAACTACAACAACAGCAACAACAACAACTACAACTACAACAACGACGACAACTACAACTACAACAACAACAACAACAACAACAACTACTACTACGACGACACTACACAACAACTACAACCACACAACAACTACAACTACAACAACTACAACTACAACTACAAAACAACTACAGCTACAACCATATGACTGCAACTACACTACACTGATTACATTACACCATAACTACAACTCCACTACGCTACAGCTACAACTACAGTTGCAGTACATCACGCTACATCCAGCAGTTGTGGGTGAGGTGACCACTGCAACCATTGCAACCATTCCAGCAAACACAACTCCAACCACCTTTCGGTCAATCAGTGGATTCGCTCTGCCATCCGTGATTCACAACAACCAACGTCTCCTATAGGTTTCCTATTCTGAAACTTCCGCCACCGCCTTGTGCGGTACTACTGGTAAACTAACATAACTATGGAAAATCACAATTTTTCATGGGAAAATCCACTATAAATGGCCATTTTTAATAGCTTTTTGTTAAATTACCAGAGGGTACGGATTCCAGGTTTCTCACTTTTCATGACCAGATTCTATATCGAAAAACGCCCCTCCAGGTCGATCTGCACACCGGAAGGCCGCGCCTCGGGAGATCCAGCTGCAAAAGCTGGATGTCTCGGTGTGGGTTTTGGATGTTTCAGGGATGGAACTAGGATGGATTTCGGATATGGTTTACCCTCTGGTTATGACTAACATAGCTATTGAAAATGGCCATTTATAGTGAGTTTTCCCATTAAAAATGGTGATTTTCCATAGTTATGTTAGTTTACCAGAGGGTATTGTTTGGATATGTTTGGATATTTTTGGATGATCATGATCACATGTTCTTGCAGTAATTCTTGTCACCTTCCACGCCAGACCAATGACTGCAATAGCTCAAACGACAAGGATAGTTGAGATATTCTTCTGAGGTCTGGCACTTTCCTGCGGGTTTGATTGAGGCTTCACCAAATCCGAGCACATCTCAGTTCCATTGGGCATCCCCTTTTGGGAGATGAGATGTACGGCCAAGGCCTCAAGTGCCAGCAACTTGATAAACATGGGGATAGGCTATGAATCAGCTGCCAATCAAGGTGGAAAACCTTGGGTCAGAGTGATGCTGCATGCCAGCAGGCAGGATCTGAAGATCTTTTGTCGTCGACAAGAATTGAGGTCTCGAAATTTGGAACCTGCAAGGTCCATGGATATTCATTGGATATCATGGTTTACCCTCTGGTAAACTAACATAGCCATTGAAAATGGTGATGTTTAGTGGATTTGCCATGATTTACCGATTTACCCATTAAAAATGGTGATTTTCCATAGATTTCCGGTAGTCACATCGCAAGTTTTTCGGGGATGTCCCAAAGATCTCCACATGCGTTTTTCTTGAGCTATCCGATGGGCAGGCTTAAGCTGGACGTGCCCAGTTTAGCAACGCCTGGGTGCTGAAGGATGAACCAGGGGCTATGGGGGTTCACCATGGGGTGCAAGACTTAAAATTTTTTAAAAAGTCCAATGACTTGGATGATTTGGGGTGTACCCGGTGTACTCCCCATTTTGGGAAATCCTGGGAAACCTTGAGATTCTTGGTGATTTGGCCATCTTTGGGCGGATGATTCGGTGAATTTGGGAGTCCTGTGGTGACATAAAAGTGCTGCTGTCCCAGCGGGCTGGATGTCCATCCCTGTGAGTAAATGTGAGCAGAGGGGATGCTACATTTCTCCCATTCTGGAGTTACCCTCTGGTAATTTAACATATGTAGCTATTGAAAATGGCCATTTATAGTGGATTTACCCATTAATAATGGTGATTTTCTATAGCTACGTTAGTTTACCAGAGGGTAAACACAAGGTGAAATAGTGACGTGGTGAACAAACCACAAGACCAAACAGATCCAAACAGGTTATGTTGACAAAGGAACCCCCGGATAACTTGGTTGATAACCATGGTGTCGCAGCCCTGATAGATGGGATAGCAGATAGCCTCAGTTGAGGCACTTCCTTCCCCAGGTTTTTTTTTCATCAGTTCGCATTTCGGATGCCTTCTCCCTTGGTAAGGTCCGTCGATGCACATGCTCCAATACCGGAAGACTTTCGGACAGTCCTGACCTTAATGGAAAGCCCCGAACTAAATGGAGCTTTCTAGCTGGGAAGATCATCCACAATTATTGTGGCTTTTCCATGAGGAGAGGGGAAAATCAATGAAAATCATCCAACCCCCCATTTTATTGGAGGATTTTCCCCATATTTTCCCCATTTATATGCCAATTTGCCAATTTGCAGAGGATTTCCCAGCCAGCTTTGATCCCCAGAGGCTGGCACCTGAAAAATCCTCATCAAACCCCCGAGCTTCGACTGAGAGTTCAGCTGAGGCTCTGGAGTCAATGGTGCCATGCTCCCCAAGGTTCGGTTGTGTCCTGTGGGTTTTCAGTGACCTGACCAGGCTGGGGAGATCTGATGATCTTTCGGGCTAGAATTCCTAGATGTTTTCTATAGATTTCTGTAGATGCTTTCAGGACTGCAATGTGGATATGTTATGTATGTATATATATATATGTGTGTGTGTGAGAGAGAGAGATTACGTCACCTTCAATACTATCTACAGTAACTCCAATCTACTTTCATAAAAAGTCGCTCCATTTATGGTTACCGTCCTATAATGTGCTGCTATATTTCGGATTTGATGTCGTAGTTGTGGCCCATCTGTGAATCCGTATGGGGTGGCAGGTCGACCAGACTTCCAAGCTGCCATTAATGAAAAACGGGTACCGTCGCGCTTGAAAGCTTCATTGAAATCACTGGAGGTTTGTGTTCTTTAATATATTTTCGTTTAGAGTACCCTCTGGTAATTTAACATAGCTATGGAAAATCACCATGCTATTAATGGGAAAACTCACTATTTCTATGGCCATTTTCAATAGCTATGTTGACATAACCAGAGGGTAGGTTCTTGGTTTTCTTGGGAGATGGATTTGCCACATCTCCCACTAGTAACAGTTCAACTTTTGTGGATTTTGGCATCCCCAGTGGCGCTGGAGCGCTTTGAAGGTGCTCGTTGACCTCGAGAAAGGAGACAGCACAGCCAGCGAAACAAAAGGCTTCCAGAGCTCGTTTGGTCACCAGTGGTGCTTCAAAGGATCCGCATATCATATGGGCTTGTCATGGCTTGTCCAAATCCCAAAGATATCATCCTTTTCCCGATTGGAATTGTGCTTTTTGGGCTGTGCTGCTTTTCATGTTTTGAAAACCATAACCAACCCATCTAGACATGTTGGGGTCCCCACAACCAAGGGATAGAGCCGGGGGTATCCCCACTCAGTACTCGGTCTAGCACTTCTGGGACTACATCACACGGTTGGCACATATCTGGTGGCAGATAGCTTTGAGCAGCCACGACATGCCAAGACCTAGAGAGCACGGCCCTTCAGAAACTGTTTGAACAAACCGGATGATGAATGATGAATAGATATGATGAGAAGTGTTACTCAGGCACTTCCTTTTCAAACCGCATATTGTTTGCTTCGGAGCCCATTTCTTTCCAGGCATGTTACTGTAGTAGAGCTTTTGGCATCCAAATGGCACCCCTTCCAAATGGCACCCCTTCCAAATGGCTCCATTCAACGGATTGACAGATATTGACATGCCAAAACACCTCTGGCAATCTTCCAAACAAAATCCAGCCCATGTCAAAAAATCCATTGCCATTTCCCCCAAGAGGGCCTTTCACAAGAAATCCGGCAATGCCTCCATGAGCCGCATCGGAGACGTTGTCATTGGACGCACCTTGTAGGGGATCCAACGTGGGATGCTGGATAGATATGGGCGTCTGAAAATGGGACAGAAGGATCTACCCTCTGGTAAACTAACATAGCTATGGAAAATCACCATTTTTAATGGGAAAATCAACTATTAATGGCCATTTTCAATAGCTATGTTAAATTACCAGAGGGTACTGGTCATGATGATCGGATTGAGGGTCAACAGGGTCAAGCATATTTTCAGAGAAAGCCGTATTGGAAGAGATTTTTTGTGATGGTCAATCTAAGGTCCATTGCCGCAGAAGGACTTCTGGTGAAGTTGCCTCAGTTGGGGATGCTCAGTGATATCTTTGGAGTTTAATATGGGGTGCTGAGGGTCCAAAAAGAGTGTTTTTTTCATTCAACAGCAGAATGTGTATATATATAATATACATATATATATATATATATTATATACATATATATATATGTATATTATATATTTATACACATCTGTCACATATTATGAATCATTCGTCGGATTCTATAAATAATAAGATCACATATCAATACATAGATCATACATGATCTGCTATGCACACACGCACACACGCACGCACAGAGACAGCTGGGCCCCACGGTCAGGCAAGATGCTCCAGCCCTGCTGCCTCGCCAGGCCAACCATGTCGATGTAAGGACTTAGAACCATGGGAGAAGATGAGTTGGTTACTCCATGAGTTAATAATAAGTAAATAAATAAATACATAATAAATAGATAAATAGATAAGTAAATAAACAAGTATATATATATATATACAAATGCGTGTTTTAATATGAGTTAAAATGACTTAGTATGATATATATTTATATATATATATATAATATAAGTTGATACGCCCCTCCTGTTAACTCCAGTAGAACTAGTAAAACTCATCTTTAAAAACAATGAAAGGTGGGCCCATGGCTCTGCATTTGCAGGTAGCATACAGCGGTATCACTGTGGGCGATGAGATCTGTGATCTATTGGCCACGGCCTTGGCAGGATGTTTGATGATCCAGTGGCCTAACCTGACCGTTACATAACGCTCAAACGTGTTTTGTAACATGGATTGTTGAATGCCCGCAGTGATCAATTTTGTCGACCCATGGGTATACCTCATTTTGGGCCACCGTAGCCATATTCAACCCCCACTTTCTCTGTCTTTCTCTAGTCTGTTGTTGCTGGTTGAATCAGGTAATTTTTTATCGCTGGTCAATGATGTGCCCCCCCAAAAAGGGTCGTCAACTATGATCGAATGTATTATAAATATGGTGTTGAGTCAAAACCTATGAAATGAAATACCATAGCCATCCATAGCCATAGTTTTGAGGGGATGAACATCCATTTGCCACTTATGCCCTGGTGTTCACCAGGGCAGAAAATTCGGTTTTGACCCAGAACCATGTTCGAAATCTCCACAGGAATTGTCCCTGTTTGGTATCAGAAACCCACATCAAAAGTGATCAAAAAATCAGCTGCCGACCTCACCTGAGGTAGTTTGGCTCTACCCCAATGGTCGCGGTGCCAGTGTCGTGGTGCCGGAAGCTGCCGCCGAGGAGACGACAGACTGGACAGGGATGTTTGCATGCGGTTACCGGGCTACCGTAGTTGGGTAGAACATGGTAGAACGGTAGAACGTCGTTGCCCCATTTATGTGAAGCCTAGACTTCCAAATTCCAAACCCCAAAGCATATTAAATACCATGGTTTGCTACCAAAATGGTATCCTCCAGCGAAACAGAACAGCAGCCCAGGGGCTAAGGATCTGGGATTAATATGGAATCAACATCACTTTGAAGGGGGCCCTGAAGGAGCTGGTCACTGGTGTTGTCAGGGAGCCTGTTCCGACACCAGAGGCCCCTGCGCCTAGTGTGCGAAGCAAAGGCGACTGGGGTGCACCAAGTCCTACCTGGGAAGTCCCATCTACGTTCTGGTAATTTAAGCTGGCAATGAGAGATCATCCACGTATTTCCATCGATGGATGATTCACCCATTGAAAAACTGTGACTTCCCAGCCATGTTTGATTCTTAGAGGGTCTCCAATCCCATCTTTTGCATCCGTTTTTCCTCTCTTCAAACGTCAAATCTCATCAAATCTCCAAATTTGGCGTTTTTTGGATGCTTTCCCCGGCCCAAAAAAAGCACCAGGGGCCGCCCCACCCCACCCTGCCAGGTCGTTGGGGCGCCGCCAGCAGCTCCGAACCGCCCGCTGCCGCGCCTGCCGCGCCGGCCGGCGACGCGCGGCTGATGCCCTTCCTGGTCCAGGCAGCCGAGGCGCCGAGCTACGCCAGCGTGGCGCTGGTGAAGCCGGAGAGCACCGGGAGCCATCGCTGGACCAAGAAGGAGGATGGGCTGGGGAGGGTGATGAGGAGGGGTGTGGGGTGTGCTGATGTTGGTGGATTTTGGAGATTGATAATATTAATGGATATTAATAGTAGTAAGGGAGAGAGAGAGAGAGAGTAATAACATTTTGATATTAATTGTCAAAATGTATTGTTAAAATGATAAGATTCTAAGATATAATCTGATATATACATATATATAATTTGGCTGGGTGGGTCATGATGAAATGGCTCGGTCCCATGCTCATCCTGTTGCAGCGAATCCCAGTGCAGCAGCTCACGTAGATCAGGAGATTGCTGCACAGGAAGAAGCTGCTGTGTGCTGCTACTCCAAGCAGCAACTGTTGCAGATTCGCAACTCTCTCCTCTTGGTGCAGGAGTTGCCGTCCGGCTCTGAAGAGATCGATATCGCTGGAGCCCCTCAGAAACCCACCTGGCACATTTGCCTTTTGATGATCGTGGAGGATTGAAAAATGGCACTTATAAATCTTATAAGGGGTGCTCCGCAAAAATATGCAGAGATGTCAATTCCTGCAATTCCATCCATCTTCCAGGTAGGAAGCGGCCAAAACACTGATTCAAGGCATGGGGATACCATGATGCTTGCCATCCATGAATGGGGGACAAGGTTCTTCTAATCCACTGAGGGTCTCATGAATTTTGGGACAATCCTGGGTTGATGAAGCATCCCCATCAGATCAATTTTGAGACAAATGTCCTTACATACCCTTAAATGAATGTCGGACATGATGATTTATGGTGTCGAAATAACATGAAATAGGCATATATCATCATATATCTAAACTTGAATCATGGGATATCACCACATTCTAATGGAAAATGATGGAACATGGATGATCCAGCAGGATATTCCCAGATTCTCAGCAGGACGCTGGAGAATCGGCCTCCTCACCTCTGCCAACGTCCATGCCGTGTCAAGAGGAGGTGCTGGGGGAGGGGCTGATAAATTATCATTCATATCATGTGTTGTATTTAAATAGATAGATAAATACACACACACGTATATATACTGTATATATATCATATATTTAATCACATATGCATATATTTTGATATTAGATACTCATACAAATACATGTATTAAAATCAATGTATATTATATCCATGCATTAAAATCAAGTGATAGTGATATGAAGGAAACACAGGATACAGCACACACACAGGCGGATATACACATATTTGTTGAATATGCCTACGCATGAATCCAACAACTGCAGCCATTTATTTAGGTGTTTACTAAAAGAAACAGGACAACTTGGTTCCAACAAAATAGAGCCCCTTTGCAGTGTTCGATTTGAACCCCACCAACCTCCAGCAAGTGACCTCTCTGCACGGGTTGCAACTTGAGATCTGCAAAAGCCGCAGATTGAAGCCATCCAACATGTAGATTTTGGAGTGACATTGCGTTTCCCGTTTTGTTCATCAAATCTCTTTGTCTATGTTACGAATAAACGTTTCAATGCTTTTAATCTCTATTTCCATGTTGGTAATGAATACTGTAGACGTTTTAACGTTGGTGAAACCGTCATAGCGTCCTTTTTTTGCTGGCACCCCCATGGCATCCCTCCAGGGTCCAGCTTTCAGGACCTGGATCGCAGTATGCTGCAGATGGTCGTCAGCACACGTCAGCTGCCAGTCTGGTGGACGCGCTGTAGCCGCGAGGTGGGCTGCATTGTTAACTACTTTGGATATGATAGGGAGAATTATATATATATATATATTATATCTGGTTGGTGGTTTGGAACATGGTTTATTTTTCTATAAATTGGGAATGATCATCCCAACTGACTAATATTTTTCAGCCTCTTTGCTCAGAGATAGCCCCGGCGCCTCCCAGAGGTTGGCAGGAAACAACGGAAGGCCGGTCTTTCTTACCTGTTCTTTTGCCCCAGCCATGGATCCTGGTAAGGCATTGGAAATGTGTATTGAGACGGTTGGGTACACAGCCCACAGAATCACCATCGGAGATGTCAAAGGTGTCCTTCACACTGATTTGCGGTGGAGCCAGCAGTTTCATGTTGGAGCTAAGCTGTCAGTTAAAGGGTCTCAGATGCAGTTTTATGAGGGAGAAATCCAGTTTTTTGCCTTGGAAAAGGATGGAGCGATGATTTTCATGCATGCCTCAGAGATGCGAGGAAAAGTCAATACCATGGAAACGTTTGCAGGGTTAGCAGGATGGTCTCAGGTACTTAGGCATTTCGATGACCGTCCTACACTCCTTGTGGAAGCCGATGCTGACACAGCCAGTGTATGTGCCGCCCAACTTGGCATTCCATGCCTTGATGCCAAGACGTACATTGATCGTGTCCTTGGAGGTGAAATGATCCCAGCTTGCATGTTGTGTGAAAGGGTTGAGAACCCACATGTTTGGGTCGCAGCCGGCCTTGCCAACATAGGAAGGGTTGTAGGGTCACCACCGTGTCAACCATGGTCGGGATCTGGAAGCAACAAAGGGTTGTCATGTGATGATGGGAAGGTGTTCCAAACCCACCTTGAATGGGCTGCATTCATGAAAGTTGATGTTGTGGTGATTGAGAATGTAGCCGGGTTGATAAAACATGGAGACTTCAAGATGATGGTACGGGCAATTGCTGAGCTAGGTTTGGACTTGAAGACACATGGAGTTTTCACTTGCCACCAGTTGCTGCCGGTACGTAGGGATAGGTGGTTGGGTACTTTCGTGCGTAAGGATGTGCCTGTTGATGATGAAAGAGTGAAGATGGCCAATGCGATTGGCTTCAACAATTGCATGTTTGCCTGTGTAGCCAAGACGCCAAAAGTAGGATCGTTTGACATGGAGCACAAGCGATGCAAACCTGAGGAGCGTGTTGAGTTGGTTGTTCCAGATGCAGCCAAAGGGATGCTTGGAAACCCGAAGTTTGCACCTTGGTGGATGAAGGATGTATGTGCCAACATGACGCATGATGAAATGATTGAAAGCAGGGTGGTGAAGCCGGGCCAACAATGTCCGTGCTTCATGGCCACCTATGGCAAACAGCATGAGTTGGATGAACGGTTGTTGATGGAAAAAGGACTTCAAACCATGTTGATCCGTGATGCACATGGGGTACGCATGTTGTCTCCATGGGAAATGCTGGCTGCAATGGCCTACAAACCTGAAACCGTTGTTAGTGCTGATGTGACTAAAGCATGGAAACAAGCCGGAAATGGGTTGTCAGCTGTTCACGCTTGGCTTGCTGTCCATAAAACATATGTTTTGCTGGGAAAGAACTCTCCATGGGTCGGTTCCTCAGATCCCACGAGACATGTTGCTGAAGTGTTGCAGGCGGGTATGAAGTTGTCATGCTTTGAGACGCTCAAAAGCGATGGGTGTTGGAAGTTGATTGAATATGATGGTGAAGGTGATACGGAACCGGCCACCAAGAAAAGCCGTAATGGTGACATTCCGCCCACGGTGCCTTTTAATGCTGAGGAAGATGAAACCAGCCCTGTGGCTACCAAAGCATTTGAAAAATGCCCCAAATTTGTGCAGGTTAATGACCCAAGATGGAATGCCACTCTTGCTGCAGTAGGTGGAAGCCGCTTGGTCATTCTTGAGCACATGGAAAAACATTGGGTTATGTTTGTCAACGTACGGGATGGTGACAATGTTGCAACGGCCATCACGAAAGGGTTGCCACATGCTAATGCTTGCCACTTTCTATGCTTGCGTGTTGATGATGTGCAAACGGAGTGGAATCAGGCACTTCCCAGAAAGGCCATGCAAAAAATTGTTTTCGATCCGGTATTTTCCACAGTGACTTGCCGAGAAGAATCCATGCCATTGGACATCAAGGTTCAAACAGATGTCACTTGGACTGCACGGACAGCCATTGCATACCTGGCTTGTGAAGTTGGTTGTAACCCTGAGGCAATGACGTTGTTCCATGGTCGAATTGAGGTGCCTGACACGGCCTTTTTGGCTGCATATGACACTGTTGAATTTGACTTGAAATTCAAAGCTTGTTTGCCAGCTTACGTCTCTTGGGAACGAAGTGATCGACAAATCAAGGATCCAGGTTTTGTGTCATCTGCAAAGGATACACGATGGTGTGTGCGACATCCAAATCGGAAAATTGTCCGTACATGTTCTGCCGATGCCACCTTCACTGTTGCACGTACTGTTCAAATTCTGTTTCCGGACTTGCATGCCAACACACCATGGGGAGCATTCTGTGATGGGGCCGAGGTGGACCCAGGAGCGCTTGTCAATGCCTTGCCACAGTTCACAATTCAGTGGAACGGAGCACGTCCTTTGCCTAGGTCCGAGGTTCAAAAGGTGCGTTGGTCCCAAGAAATTGACACTCCCAGTGTACAGGCCAAGATGTATGATGAATATGCAGTTCTTGCCCTTAGGTCACCTTTCAGAGCCAAGCCACAAGAACTCCGATGTCCCAAGAATGCATACGTAGTTGAGATTGCAGCCAGCTACATGACCATGTCGAAAGTGTTCACGAGCATGATTATCACTCAGAATGGCCGAGTGATTGATCCCATGACGCAGGTTGAACATGTCAATGAAAGTGCAGTAGTTGATGTGAGAATCTGTCCCCTATTGGGAGGAGGTAAGGCAGAAAAAACAGAAGCGTTGAAAAGCAAGTTGAAGATCATGCTCACCGACCGTGGTGTGCCTATGGATGTTGTAGGTGAAAGAATGGGTGAAATGCTTGGAAAAATTCAGCATGACAAGCTGCAGGCTCTGGGTGATCCCCAAGATCCAAGCACATGGAAATCTCTCAAAGAAATGGCAAGTGATGCTAAGGTTCGCCTTATCCTGCCAGCTGAATTGAAAGCTTTCCAGCAGAAGAGCCGCAGAGAGAAACCTGCCAGCAAGGTCGAGGTTAAAAGGCAAAAAACGTTTACACCTGAGGCACATGCCATCAGGGTTGACCCAGCACACTTTCAAGCAGAAGGGAAGAAAGTTCAGCTGCTTGAAGTCAGTAGGTTTGGCCCTGACCAGACAGGTCTTTGCATCGTGTCGCCAGAAGAGGCAAAGAGATGCCAGCAGGTCGGAGCGAGATCATGTGATCCTCTTGCGCTGTTGGTGATTGGTGATGGAGTTCAGAATGTTGGATCGACCTTCTCTATGCCTGCGCATTTGACCAATGGGTCGCCAGTCATTGTCAAGGCATGCCTTTTGCAATTTGGAGATACTGAAATTGAGTACCGACTGCAGTTGCCCACAGCAGACGTTGTCCAGACTGCATCAACTGTGATTGAGTTTGGGATTCACAAGAGTTATGTTGGAAGTTGGCAAGACACTGCAGTGCCATTGCACTATGTAGGGGTACATGTTCCAGCG